CTTATCAGCCTACGACCGGAACAATGGCCTATTGTTGTCGCAGGAAGAAGAACGAAGCAATGCATTCCGGACCACTGATTATAGTCTTTTAATGGATGGCGTTATACCCGACGCTGCCGATGCGCTCATCACCAAAATCAAAAAGATAAAGCCATAAGATCAATCTGCTTTTTTAATAAATTCGGTCTTATTCTTTCCATTGATCTTTTCTTCAATCACTTTGGCCCCGGTTAAAATGGTGCATTTAATAATGTCGCCCTGGATTTCTTTGACCTTTACCAGGGCTACTTCCGACTTTCTGTGTTTGATTGTTCCTTCAAAATCGATGTCTTCAATTTCCAACATGCTGATGAGATCACCAGGCTCCACCGGGCTGTCATTGTCCGCAATTAAAGTCACATACCTGGGCAGTCCCTTTTTGTCTTTTTCCTCCACACCATGATAGTTGAGTACAGGCGGGAATAGCTTGGCCACCCAGCTCCGCACCTCGTTATTGATCTTTTCTGCATTGACCTGGACGGCATTATTAAACGGGTCCACATCCTTTTTATAGTTGGCCATTTCAATGGACCCGCTGGTGGATAGGTCAAACATTTTGGTGGCATTGAGCACGCCCGTAGTCACATCGATCTTCTGAAGCGTAAAGCTGATTTTGCACTTGGAGGTAGTAGCGCCGGTATTGCTTTTGTCAAAAGGATTAATACCGCTGAACTTTGTTTTTTCAATAACGATATTGGTCAGTACGCCAATGATGATGAACTGGGCGCCGTAAGCCTTATTCTGTTTAACCGTCTTGCCATTAATATACTCCTTGTTCTTTTGAAGGTTAAGCTCTTTTTGAATGACGGCTACTTTACTTCTGTCCAGCAGGGAGATACGGTTGTTGGCATTAAGAATTCTGGTCACCATATTTTGCAATTGCTCCGCCTGCTTTTTATAGCTGCTTTCATTATAGTCAAACGGGATGACGCCGATAATTGTTTTAGCATTGTTTTGAGCAAAGCCCTTTAACGACAATAATATTGTCAGTAAAAGAACGGATGTAAATTTCATGATAAGTGGATTTGATGTTGCGGTTGTCAGCATACACCGTTCAGTTGTTTTTGAAGCAGACTGCTGATCGATTGGCAGATCAAAATACTGTAGCAGATACAAACCATTTAGTATAAAACCCCGGTGATTCCGGTGATAAATCACCTTGTGGGGATTATTAAATTTACAGCAATACAGTTATTGAGCAACAGGATACACCGTCTCGTAAAAATGTCGATTTAATAATGTTGGGAACAGCTCAATGATTAAGCAAGGCGTTTTGTGCTTAAACAACTAATTTATACTTTGATAACCAGTTTGGCATTACAGTAATACGAAAGCCCAGCCCCGGATAATTACCGCAACAGGTGTCCCAATGCTTTAAACGTATCGCATATAGCTGCCATACACCGCTACCTTTTTCATCGGGCCCGATACCCGGAAATATAAAGTCAGGCTGTTTCTTCTTAATTTGCTTTCCCCGATAGCGTTTTCTGTACCATCTTTATCCCCGGATGAAATTATTATTGATTGAAGATACCATAGAGCTGGCCAAAAGTATTGCCGGTTACCTGACGCAGGAAAATTACCTGTGTGAAGTAGCACATACCTTTGAGGAAGCCCGGGAAAAGTTAATGCTCTTCACCTATGATTGCATCATCCTGGATAT